CCCAGGGTCATGTGATTACCTTTTGCAGCCTTCTGACAAGCAAAGTCAATGGGGAAACCAGATTCACCTAACTTAACTGTGTTACTAATTTAACAACTGTAATGATTCACTTAACAAAAGTGGCAAGAAAAGTTGTAAAATGTGGCAAAGCTCACTTAACAAATTTCTTGCTTAGCAACATAAATTTTGGACTCAGAAATCTAGCACATTTGAAGAATAGTTTAAATATTTTAATATTGATTTGCAGGTTTTCTCTGTGTACTTTGTTTCTGTTGTCCAGATACAAACCTCCTTGTAGAGCCAAGCCTATTCAGGTAGTCTTCAACTGATGACTACAATTGAGTCCAAAATTTATGTTGCTAAGCAAGAAATTTGTTAAGTGAGTTTTGCCACATTTTACAACTTTTCTTGCCACTTTTGTTAAGTGAATCATTACAGTTGTTAAATTAGTAACACAGTTAAGTTAGGTGAATCTGGTTTCCCCATTGACTTTGCTTGTCAGAAGGCTGCAAAAGGTAATCACATGACCCTGGGACACTGCAACCGTCATAAATGTGAGTCAGTTGACAAGCATCTGAATATAAATCACATGACCATAGGAATGCTACAATAGTCATTAGTCTGAAAAATGATCATAAGTCACTTTTTTCAGTGCTGTTGTAACTTTGAACAATCACTAAGTGAATTGCTGTAAGTCAAGGATTACCTGTATGCTTCTAGGTCCAAAGTGTCTCTTCTACTACAATATCCACTTAGGAAGGAGGATACCAGAGAACAACTCAGGGATTTCTATTTCATTATATAAAAGCAGAAATCTAAGTTTCTTTTTGCAACCCCACTTGCTTATTGATAAATTGTGCCTGAATAGAATCATGTATCATTAAAGGTCTTGTAGTGCTTGGGTCTGCATTAAATCTAATGTAACTACAGGCAGAGCATACAGAAAAATCACTGTCGTTATTTTACACCTGCCAGCCTCAGAAGAATGCAGATCGAGACTAGTGGCATACAGTACTGTTTTTGTCTATGGTATATTTAGCGTCTCATCTGAAAGTAAGACTCCCTTTCAGCTCAGTTAGGAAAGAATGTATGTTTTCTTTGGCTTTCTTCCTTGCCTGTTTACAAGAGAGAAAAAAAACCAAACAAACTTGATTTCAATGCAAAATTAATCAGAAATGTTCATACAGTAATTTCTTAGAATTAGCAAGTAAAATAAAAACAGTAAGTTTTAACACAAAGTGTGAATTTTGGTTTTCTGTGAGACAGATTTCTTCCTGTTAAAAGTTGTCTAATTTTAAAAGTGTGTGTGTGTGTGTGTGTGTGTGTGTGTGTGTGTGTATGTATGTATGTGTGTGTGTTTGGCATGGATAAATACATTCAGCTACTGTCTGTATAAGGTCTTAGTCATCCTAATTTGTATCTCTGTTGGAAAAGTGTGGGAATGAACATTTGGAACAGTAAAATAACCCAGCATAGTATCAAGCAAATGCAGAGATACTGAGCCAAAATGCACAGATCAGGCTTACTGCCAACGCTTGAATCATCCAGCCACAATACCACTATATTAGTAATTAGGTACTTTGTTTTGTGTTTCATTGACCTCTTTATTCTTTTAAAGGTATAATTTCTTTATTTGCAAAGCAATGCACTGGCTAATTAGAAGTCTGAGACAATAGTGAGATTTTAATCTGTTTTTATTTTTCAATCCCTTTTATTACTACTTTTTTGCTCATGGAATAAATAGCTATTTCCTTATAAGGTTAGGAATGATGTGGTTTACTTTAGAACTTAATTTCTTGTCCTTTTAACAAAGCCTCCCCATGACTTGTTACATTATCCTCAGCAGTTTGTGGGCTGAGATCCATGTAACTTGGAGGGAGGAGAACATTAAGAACAATGACACTTAGTGGGTAGACAAGTTTAGGAGCTTTTTTTAAAGGCTTTTAATTGTATCAAGACTTTTTAAAGGATTTTTCCTCCTTCAAAAGGGTGGAAAAGCAAACTGTCAATGTTTGACATTCTCTGGTTCTGGGGTTCCTTAGAAATTATGGGTAGAATAAATCTATTCATTTTCTAGTTTTTGAAATTTGGATTTTGATTTTCATGTTTTGATGTACTCATCCCATTATAGAGGCAGATTAATCTGTACCTGTTTTGGATTTCTTTTGCCATTTTTATTCAATTATGGAACATGGAGAAGTTGTCAAACCAGAAGTTTCCCTGGTAACTCTAGTTTTACATATTGAATTTCAAAATAGTGTATTTATTCATAGTTTTATTAAGAATATTGATTATAATAGTAAAATCTAATAATTTTCTCTTTATATATTTTTACTATTTCTTTCAGTTTCTTTAAGCTTATAAATAGTTTTTCTTTTGTCCAAAGCTTAAAATAAACTCATTGTCAGCCTCTGCTTTGCTGCTGCTTCGGCTGCCATTGAAACGGGGAGGGAGGGCATGGTATTTGGGAGGGGACTGATTGTTGTGCTGGAGGAAGATTCTGGAGTTTCAACTGCCCGTCTTACTGCGCATGCGGAGGAGGTTTCCCGCCAAGGCCAACGGCACCGACATTCCATCTTGGTGATGCCTTTCGAAGTTATCTTGCACCTGACACTTGGGAGAATGATGATTGGACTGTGCATGGGATGCCAAGGGGTGGGGAATAGGATATACAATATATCATTCGCTTTAGCACCTAAATAATCAGACTTCGCTTTGCTACGCTTCTGTTCATTTATAATTAGTAAAAGTACACTTGATTTCTATCAATGGAGTCTTGTGGTTTTCTTTCCTGATTATCCAATGAAGAAGTGCTGACACTCATCAATGAAGATATTTGAACCTTTTTTATTCTGAGGGTCCCTAACAGCTTTAAAGTTAATAGGAAACTATTTAATCACCAAAGTGATTAAAAAGTAAGGTTTGCAATCTTAGTGTCCTTGAAAAGGCTCCTCTGCAGTTGTGAGCAATCCTTTGTCTCCCAGTGCTCCAATTCATAGAAAATCTCTGTCCTGTGATTGGCTTGTGAGGAGCTATCATCCAGAGTTTGTGTGATTGATCTCCCATCCTGTCCTTAGATTAAGAGGTTTCAAGGAACTTACAGTTGTCTTCTCTTTGTCATTTGTCCCCCATGAGTCAAAATGGTACCTGAATGATCAAGTAAATTTTGAGTTAAATTCTAAATCAAAAGTTCAAAAAGTTTAATTCTCAACTGCCACATTTTACCCATATTTAATTAATGCTTCAGTAGAAAATTATTTTGCAAAATAATACTACAAACTTGCCTACAGTTTAAAAAAAAACAATAATGCTGGTTCATAAGCATTTTTAGCACAAATAAGGGAATGACATCTATTCTTTCCACATTATGGAATTGTAAACTGGCCCACCAATGGCAAGATGTTTTAATTCACTAGTCAACCACAGTAGTAACACTAAGTAATATGAGTATACAATACAGCAAATTACTCTATGAAATGCCATAACCTGCTACCTGTGGAATCACCTAGACTTCCTTTTTACAATGTGATTTTGTCTTATTTTCTGCATTGACGTTGCCTATTATAATTGTTGTTTATTTTATGTTAACCTTCTATGTTAACCTTCAGAATTTGCTACATCTAAATAAGAGACAATTCTGGTGTGGTTAAAAAAATGAGACTTGTACAATATTTGGTTGACCACATGCTCTATTTTAATTGTTTTACTTGCTTCAGAAGAATTCATTGTACAAAGCAAACAGGACTTCTATTTTAGAGTGGTGTATTTCCTTCTTTGGCTTCAGTAGCTACTGATTCAATACAGTAATACAATAATGGCAGTGCAGAAAATAAGACAAATTGATTCAATAGGAAAATAAGGACCCAGAAAAGTCTTGCATTGCAGGACTCTCCTATCTTCTTCTGTACCCCCCTCCCCTTTTCAACATTAAGTTCCTTTTCTGGGTCTTAGCAGCTCTATCCCATTCCTGCTGCTCCCTGCTTTGCTTCTGAACTGATTCTGGACATCCATGGTCTTTGGGAGATATGTAATGCAAAGGTAGAAAGGTGGTTTTTACACACTTGTGTGATAAACAAGATAATACTTAAATAGTAATGCCTAAACTCTTGCCTACTCTCCACATTAGTATCCACAAAACCTACTTGTCTTAGGAAATGGACTCTGAATTTTCAGAAATGAATCAAAAGAAAATAAAACTGAAATCTGGTGTGCTTTATTAAATAAGCAAACAAATCTATAGCTCAACTTATAGTCTAACAGCACGTATATTCCAGGACTGTTATTGAATTTAATTAGCACCTCTATAACAATATTAATGATTATGTGGGCTGATCTGTGGAAATGGTGATTGTGATTTGCTATGTAGGAGGAGTAGGCTAAAATTTAGTGGATTTATTCCTTTCCTATTCTGGGATCTTATAATAAGCTTTTTCTAAGCAGTAAATAATATGCTTTTTAATATATTAAAATGCTGCAAAATGTTTTCAAATGTGGTAGATATTTTTATTTATTTATGTATGCCTCTTGAAACAAATGCAGATCATTTCTGAAGCTGTGCCTGCCAGTTATTCTATTGCTCTTATATGATGGTGTTTCATGTGATATGTGTGACCTTTGTTTTCTTCTGAGTTTTTAATGCTGATCTTCCTTCCTACAGGGACATTTGTATCAGCTTTCACAGTCTTGTGTGGAGCCCGGACAGATCTCCCTGACAGACACATTTGTTGTGTGTTCTGGTTGAATATTGCAGCAGCTCTGATTCAGATTCTCACAGCAATTGTGATGGTTGGCTGGATTATGAGTATATTTTGGGGGATGGACATGGTCATTCTTGCCAGTAAGTTTTTGTTCATTTTTGTTTGTTACTCTAATTATTAAGAATTAAAGTGAGCTTGTGGGAAGGGGGGTAGAAGTGGGTCCTAGTTAAATCAAATAATTCTCTAGCAGCTGAAAACTCTTTTTTGTGTGAGTTGATGGCTTGATAGAATCTGTTTGCAGAAACAAGCTGAAGAAAAAAAATGCTTCCTTCTCTTTTTCCCTAATATTTCTTTGAACAAAAACAAAATTAGGATTTAGAGAACAGCTTTTGTCTTGGAGTGACCTCTAAAACACTGCCCTTCATATTCTACTGGTTTTATATTTGTCCTCTATACTAGTCAAGCAGTTGGCTCCCGGTAACCATAAATGGTGCAAAAGGCAATCACAATTTATCGATTTTTTTAAAAATAATCAGTTTGGCCATCTCAATTACCAAAGGAATTCTAGGCAGTATGCAGCAATATAATAAAAACAGATTAAAACAAACATAGCAAACCTAACAAAAAACAACGTACCAGTAGAGCTTCTCATTAGGGAAATGTTAATATAATTATATGGCTAAGAAATATCATAAACTGGGTCACAAAGGAGCCTATCCTTCAAAAGGCAAGGTCTTCAAGGCTTTCCTAAAGGCAACTGAGTCCCATGTAATGCTCTTTCAGAGGGCAGTGGGTCTCTGGGATCCCATAACATAACACTCCCTTCATCTATGGGATATGGAGCATGCTTACTCTACAATATTTACTAAACAAGCAAACCATAGAGAGAAAAAGATACTCATGTAGGTAACTAGACCTCAATTCATGAAGGTGCCAACTAGCATATTGAATTGCAACTGGAAGCCAACTGGTAAGCAGTGCAGCTTGTGAAGTAGAGGTGTCACGTGGGTGAAATGGTATGCATCTGCAGCTACTCATACTGCTTCATTCCAACTGCAGCTTCCAGGAGTAACCCCAGCTAAAGCACGTTGTAGTAATACAAACAAATAAAAATATCTAAAACTTGAAAGACTATGAGAAAGGCCTCCCAAATCAGAAAAGAGTATAATTGGCTAATCACATGTATTTGTGCAGAGAGCTCTCTTGGCCATAGCTGCCACTAACCCCCCCCCCCCCCAAATTCTGCCTGGGTTACTGCAGTGCAATTGAGAACTAATATTGGAAAATCTCTAAAACAGAAGGTCCTTGCATCTTTAACCATTCAGTGTTGCTAGGCTTGTGAAGAAAACTCATCAATGCTGAGAATGAAAACAAGGTATTTCAAAACATAACTAATGAAGAGCAGATGGTTGTTTCGGTGTCAGGCTTATCTGGGGGAAAACGGTGGTCAGTGCTTCAGTTTCACAATCTGGGGAAAAAGATTCAATAATTCAGTGATTCCACCTTAATGAATTCATTCCTAAATGTAGGTAGGAATTTTGCTTATTTGGTTTTCAAGGTTCTATATCCTAGTTCCTTATTTCCTGACAATAATTAAAGACATTTCATGTGACTCTTGCTTCCCTGTCTCCTAAGGACTGGACAGATGGACCCTGATCCTGTTCCTCTGTATCCAGATCCGAAATCCTTGAAGCACTAAGAGAAAATATTGGCAATGTTGCCCAATGAGCCTGGATTGAAATAGACTATGTCACTAACATATTGACACTCCCTAACAATATTTCCAGGTTATTCCACATAATACCCTCATATAGATGTTAAATAAGAATGGGGAATGTGTTGAATCCTAAGAGATCTTAGGGTTTCGGGTTTCAGGATGTTTTCCCTCCCAACACAACTGGACCCAATCCCAGAGAAACTTGGAAACTACAGTATGATAGTTGTCAGCACATTCAACAACTACTGTGTGTTGACACTGAAATATGAACTTAAAACTGGTCCTTAAAATTCTAGCCATCTCCACAATCACACGATTGCAATCCAGGCACTTGAGAGCCTGGCTCATGATTAGCCTGTTGCAGGGAGCTGTGTCATGTGATCACCACTTGTGAACTTTTTTGTCAGATTCCCTCAAACAGAGCCCAGTAAGTTGCCCCATCTCTTTTTCTCCAGGGAGCCCATTGCTGAGATATTATATTCCTTAGTGCCCCCTCCTGCCCACACCTGCTCACAGCACCCTGCTCACACCTTCTGCCAGCCTGCCTATGTTCCCCATCACCCACTGGAATCCCTTGCTAGCTTGCCCACACTCCCTGGCATCCACCTGCAGCCCTGAACACTAGCTCACCCGTGTTCTCCAGAATCCACTTTTCAGTCTTACCAAGTAAACCAGACAAGAAACACAACCAAATGAACTAATTCTACTTTATTATGAAGCTACAGCAATAGAATCTTGCAAATCTGAAAAAACAGTTTTCCTGCCATTACCTTTTACAGCTATAGAACACGGGGAAGATTCTTTCTGAGCTTCTTGTTTCACCTTGCTATACAGCTGCAGCCTATGCGCTTTCTTATCTGGTCATTCCTTGCATTGTATTTCTTTGCCCTGCATCCCAAGTTCATTTCTTAAGGCGGCGGTGGTGAGGCCCCTCCTGAAGAAACCGTCTTTGGATCCAGCAGTTCTTAATAACTACCGTCCAGTCT